GCCAAGCTGCACAAATGAAGAAGATGTCGAACTAACAGTAAAAGATGATGCCGAAACCACGGCATCCAAGCTGACTTGCTTCCCCAGAACGCAATTCTGTCCTGATGTGGCGCTAAGTTCAGATGATCGAGCACCTGGAGGAAAATTTTGCTGAAAACCAGAAGTAGTAGTGGCCGCTTCTTGGTTAGTTTCATCAAGCCTATTCGTTACTCTACTATCACAAGAGTTGGCCAAAATTAAAGAGTTCGGAACAAAATCTGGACGGCTGGTTGATATCTCTCGAGAGGGTAGTGGCAAGGCAGCTAAAGTCAATCGCTGATTGTCAGTGGCCAGAATGACTCGCTGATTCTGTTGCGGCTGCTGTGATTGCTGGAGCAGAAAGGAAGCTGGCCTAAGAGTGGTGCAAGAAGCCTGACTGGGACAGAGTCCGGTAAAAGAGGTCGAAAAGTCATCAGAAGAGGATATCCCTGAAGCTTGAATCAAAGAACCATCATATTGAAGAAGAAGTCCAGCTGATGGAGGAGAAAACTCTGGAACAATGGAACTAACCGAAGTTGGATTTGTCATCACAGAGTGAAGCGGAGTAAAGTCTCCCGAAGGCAGACGAAGCAACGTGAGCTGAGTACTGCCAGAAATAGGAGTAGAATTTTGACCGGAACTAAGAGGAGAAACCAGAGTCAGCCCAGGAGGCAAAGTGAATGATTGGACAGTTCCGCCATTGGAGTTAGTAGAAGTCATCGTGAGTGAACTATCCATTGAAGTGGTTATGGTAGGAGTAGTCATAGGGATGGAACCCTGTGTTGGTGAAAATGTAGTGGTTTCACCAAGAGGAGCCGTGATAAGGACAGTACCTAGCCCTGAGGAACACGTGTCATCGGAAACACTATTGAAATAAGCAGAGCCAAAGCGGGTTGTTTGTCCAGAAAGTGCGATAGCCTGACGACCAGGTAGAATTTTGCCAGCATCCGTATCGGAAGCAGTGACAAGCATATGACCGGTAGGCAGAGGCCTTCCCAATACAGCCTCGTTTGAAAATCCGACAGAAGTTTGATCCATACCTGTATTTACCATAGCGACTGGTGTGTTGATCAAGTGTCCTGAAGGCGCGAAGCTAATAAACCGACCTGAAGAAGTAGAGGTACCTGCAATTGCTGTGATGGTAGCTGTTGATGTAGTGGCCGCTGAATGAGTGGAGAAAGGGTTATTAGCTTCTTTGGAGATGGAGTGATCAAGTGGGCCAGATAAGTTATGACGAGTAACATTGGCAGAGCTAGCGACGCTAGCGATGGGAAGCAGAAAATCATTAGCAAATAACTTTCCGTCATTCAGGTTGTCGGCTATAGAAGTGTCATGGGCACTAACACTGTTAAACAAAGTGTTGCCGTTACTAGAGGTGTTACCGCTATTTAGAGAGGCAGTAGAGAGACCAGTAAAAGGGGCTATGCCATCACCAGAAATCAGAGAGGAATCGGATCCAGTAGTAGAGCTCACAAAATTGCCGGAACCTGCAAGAGCAATATTTTGCACCAGCTTGCCATCTACATTATCTCTGCAATCCCTTTGGGTTCCAGTAGATAGGTGCTCACCAAGATTGGCTAAGCGGCCATGGCTGATGTACGTGATACTCTTATCAGAAAGAGGCTAAAAGATAAAAAGGTTGAGAAATAAATGAGGAATGAAAAATGCGGGCAAAAAGAGCGTCTAATCTAACTATATATTTTATTAATTG